TTTTTCTACCTTCAAAGCTCAAAGCTTCGCGCTAGGATTGACTAGGACCAACTCATGCGTTAACCCTTGATGGGGATCAACTAGAAGTCGTTCAAAAATTCAACTACCTGCCTACCTATACCAGCGCCCTTGGAACAGAGGATTCAGCCACAAACCATATAGCAAAGAGTTGGGAGATTTTCGCCAGTCTTTGACAATGATGGCTGCAGCGCAACATCACGCTGAAGCTGTCGATTCAGTCATTTTGTACGGTTCCGAAGTCTAGCGTAGCAAATCGATAGACCTAATCAAAATAATTGTGTCCGCCCAATGGTGCATTCATAGCTTAGAAACTATCTCGTGGGAACACAGGAAAAGTAAGTGAACCACTGAGCCACATCAAGCACCAAGCTGTGATGACTAGGCGACTACTGAGACGTGCGTTGTTAGTACAACTGAGGTCTGCAACGAAAAAGAGGAGAGGACGTCAATCGATGACTTGGTAAAAAGGAAAGAATACTAGCACTTCGAAAGTGGCCTCGGTTGGTGCCTCTCGACTTCTGAACTCGTTTGGTCGAGCGTACTTGTTTACATGCTGAAGAGCCGACCACAGTGTTGTTTGTGACGTGAGTTTACTTGTCCCTTCCTCCCACGTAGCACCACCTCCAGCCACGCGTTCATTCTTAGGGCAAACTAAAAACGAAGCATGGTATTAATCGTTTTAGCTTGCTTTTGCCCTTGCTTTTCTTTGATTTTACAACCATGTTAGTGTATAGTTTCGAGCCACAGTGGCTGACTTCTGAAGCTGATGACGAGAAAAGGTGAGAAATAAAGCGTCAGCAGCACACCGATACGCAGCACCGACGCAACCACTAGCAGTTGCGCGTGCGTTAGGAACACTGCGAATGGCGCGCAGTCTCTATATGCAAGCTCGAACTCGGGCACACGGATTACAAGGCAGGCATGTAATCCTTTAGGCTACCGACCGACGATGAGTGTGGCAGTTCTATCGCTTCTTTTTACGATTATACTCAAAATTTCCTCTCCAAAAATAGCTTTCACATCAATTCCTATGATAACCATTTCCATGGAATCAGCTTTGTGTGTCTCTATTCCCAAAATCTACATCTAAATATTCACGCAGTTTATTGAACGTGGCATTGAAATCAACCCGGGAAGGGGCAGCTTCTAAAACAGCTTAAGAATAACTCTTCCAGTGGTGGATAAGAGGTGTCAACAGATGCGTTGTTCCATTGGAAATTATCCGATCGGTCCGGTTGCATCAATCATGATCGTTTACAAACTTTCGAACTTATGTCGTCTTCTTGATATTAAATAGTCTTAACCGTATCGGTTATCAGACTTCCCATTGGTATTAAATCCCTTCAACTTCACCAAATCATCTGGGTTATAATTTTCCGGACGGAAGCTTCAACTAGCTAAGGAAAGTCATCTACACTTCAGTTTAAGGCTAATTTTCCGTACTCATAATCACTATTTACTTTCTAGACGATGACCACAGTTATCCTCGATTGGCTGCTTTGGTATTTTCGTCGATGGAAAGCGAATATGAGGGATTTCCGGGATTGGTGGAAACTGATAGTGGGGAGATGCGTTATCTGCTCGATCAAGTGACATACGCAGAATACGATGGCCTATTTGATCGGCTCGAAACATTTGAGAACATCCGAGCAAAGGGTCCACATCCATGGCCACATAAATTGACACAACAAGAGTACTTATACAACGCACTGTCTGCCCTCCGGTACACCTGCCCTCAAGCGTGGTTATTTGGCATTTGGCGATTTAATCGTACAGATCTACCTTCAACTAGAACGCGATTCTATCACATTTATCACGCGGAATCACCAAGATATCCATACACCAAAGTTCCTGGTCTACCTGGAAATCGCCGACTCCCCTTTCACGGATTGGATATGCTTCTGCTCACGGGTAATTATCAAGAAGTACCTTCGGCGTTTGACGAGTACAAAACGCATTTATGGAGAATGTTCAAGAACTTCGTTCACGAATACAAAATGGACGAGTTATGCGAGGTTCATGAAAATACAGGTAAGTTGCAAGGTACAGCCGCTTTTTCCACTGGATGAGGCAGCCGACAATTTAGTTTCAGCATATGGTGAATATGCTTTGGCCATATCAATGTTTAAAAGCAAATGAACTACTCACAAGTAGATTACAAATTAGGCGTTTACTCTTTCTGTGGGTCTCCGCTGATGGGCGCTTCCAGTATTGTGTAGATGACTGCACCAGACTGGCAAAAAAATGAATCACGGAGATAGTATTGCAATGCCTTCTGGAAGTAGACAAACCGCAGTAACGTTGTAACAACCCAGTTCTGTTGGTCCCCTTGCACGAATATTCGCCCTAAGTTCAGAACTTTTCTGGGCCACGCGCCTTCCTAACTGCGTTCATTTCGCCCGGTATTCTCTAGGTGCATCGTTTCCGTGCTCGGTTTGGTAGGCTCATGTTCCCTCCAGCAACTAGGCAGACAATTTGCTATATGGCGTAGCTGCATGTTTGCAACAGGTCGCACAGATGAAGTTGTACCAAGAGGCCCAATGAAACGTCGCTTCTTATTATGAGGCCGTAGATCAGCAGACTTGTTTCCAATCCAGCTCACGTAGGTGTGTGTCTTAAAAACTGCTAGATATCTTAATATGCGCCATTATTGTTATATCTTAGCTGGTTCGGTACTATTCAAGTGGGACATCTGCAATTCGCAAATCCCAGAGGAAATCAACAGACTGATGTAGTGTGCTAAAGACAAGCTACTGAAATGCGTACAAGTAGTGGGAAAGTCAACGGATATTTATTCGTACACAAATGTTGGCCTCCGGAAAAGGCCAACATTGCGGAAAATTGATCAGCGGAATAAGGGTTCATAAGGAATTAAAACGCAATGCTTTACAAATCCCGTAAGATTGAACTTATTGAGATAGTAAGATGCATGCTTCAAGGAAATGTGTATTGATGGACTAACCATAGTGGTTGTATACAGATGTGCGTAGGAGAGCAGAGATCTTCGCCTGCTATAAGTATAGCTCGACTGGTTAAAATTTTGGGCCGTACCGTTTGGTTGAGTTAAGTAGCCCCATGGATAAGGCGTTGGAAATTGAAATGCGAATGGGACAATGCTTCGTCACGTATTTTAAATTGTGTGTTAAATATCGTTAATTCGGGCGTAGAGAGTGTTCGCGACAGACACTCTTGAAGTAAGAAGAAACTGCTAGTACATTCCAGCCGGCTATACAGTATTATTCGTATTAAAGGATTACCTCTTAGTTTGGGGCTGTGGTTCAATTCCAGCAGCGGGCGGCAAATGTGGTGTGGGTTTTTCAGAATCTGGTAAACCTTTATGGGGTCCCCACAAACCTCGAGATCGACCGCTGTACAATCCTAGATATTTTGATCAAAGCTGGTAGGGGCAGATGGATGATGACCCTAACGTACTTGGTCTCCCTTTATCGAGGAGCCTTGATAGCATTGCGATCCTGTTTATACCACGGGTGTTACGCTTGAATGGTGTATCCCACATGGGGCCCCACGTAAGCATTAAGCTTTTGTGGGAAGACTGAAGGGTCAAACCGACCGAAAGCACTGCGAAGAAGGCCAAAGTGGTGACTGCTGGTTTCGATGCCTTCTCTGCTTGTTTTGAGCATCTGAGATCGTCCTATACCAGTACAACCAGGTCACGCTCCTGAGATGCCTCCTTCATGTTCTCCAAGCCGGTAAAGGCTCACCGGCTGATGACACAGGCAAATCGTTTTGCCCTATACTGTGTTAAACTAAAGTAGGTTCCTCGTTGATCATTCATGAATGCAATCCATGCCATGTTGGAGGTAATCGTGAGCTGCTGTGCTCTTAACCGCCCACCATCTTTTAATACCTTCGGCGAAAAGCAGGAAATTTGTAGAGACAACTCGTGTCAGATTGTTGATTAACACCAGGAATAAGAGCGGTTGCAGGACGGAGCCTTGTGGAACACCACATTTCGGGGCATCAACAATTTTGCATACTTTAGGTTAGTGCGGTAATGAGGGAGGATCCCCCCAGGGGTGCAGCAAACAATGGAACAATGGAACAATGGTATATGACGGGTAAAAAAGCATACACTTAACGAGTCCCGCAGGTTGGCAATAGAAATACTAACAAATTGGCAAACCACATAAGTGGTTGAAGTAAGGAGCGTCAGTGAGAAAAAAAGGTAGAATTATAACAGTTTTAGGGGGATAAAGTGGTACGACGCAAAACTGGCTAAGAAATTGTTATCGTTGGTGATGGTAGCAAATAAAAATGGAGTACTCACCGGTTCGCACAGATTTACGACCGTGAATTTGGGTTATAAACCCAAAGAGGCTGGTCAGCCTAAATATATACAAGCGTTTTCGTTCATAAAACAAAGCGCAGGGCGCTCAGTGCGACGTCCAATCGTTTTTTAAACGTATCTAATGTGGGGGCACAAACAACTGAGTTTGGAAGGGCGTTCCAAGGCCCGCAGACCCGGAGGGAGAAATAGGTTCTCCGACAGTCTAGACGACTGTACTGTTGGCTCAGCTTTAAACTGTTACCGCGAAGGTTAGTGTTCGGGCTGAGCTTCAAGAGGTGGCGGCATACGTGACTGGGATCGCTCAATATCTGGTACACTAGTATGAGGTCTCCACGAAGTCGCCGGTACCGTCCGCTGAACACTCCGAGTATCTCCAGTCGTTCCTCGTAAGGAGTGTGGCGCAAGCCCTTGACGATTTTCGTTGCTCGACGCTGTGGGGTCTCAAGCGCTGCAAGGTCACGTTTTAGCCAGGGTTGCCAGGCCTGGATTGCATATTCGACGTGAGGACGCACGTAGGCATTCAGCATCAAAGAGAAGATGGATGGATCCAAAATTCCGAATGCTGTTCGCAGGAGTCCAACGTGCTGGTTGCCCCTTTTAGAAGCGGAATCTGACTGTTTGGAACACCCGAGGTCTTCCTGTACCAGCACACCCAAGTCGCGTTTCTGAGTGGTGGTCTTCAGATCGTGTGCCCCAAGCTTGTAGACGTGGACTTGTCGGTGGCGGATATGAACAACGCGACATTTGTTCACATTAAACGGCAGGGCGTTTCTCACCGACCAATTCCAGGCCTCATTCAAGTGACGCTGTAGGACTTCATGGTCGTCCGATCGTTTTATCGCACGCCAAACCTTGAGGTCGTCCGCGAAGAGTAAGAATTTCGACGTAATAACTCTTACTAGGTCGTTAATGAAAAGCAGGAACAAACGAGGCCCAAGTACCGAACCCTGCGGTACGCCGCATCCCACTCGAATCGGATCGGAAAAGGATGATCGAACTCTAACTTCTAACTGCCGTTCAGAGAGAAAGTTACCGATCCATCCTAACAACGGGTCTCCGATACCGTACTGTTGGAGTTTAATGAGCAGGATTCGATGATCCAGGCGATCGCACGCTTTCGGAAAGTCCAAGAATGCAACATCGACTCCTGTTCCCTCATCGACAGTCTCGGTCCAGTTGTCACGAGCTATCAGCAGATTCGTCGTACATGAACGATGTTGACGAAACCCATGCTGTTCTGGCGCAATTATGCCGTAGTTTTCCAAGTATCTCATTATCGCATCTGCTATCACCGCTTCCATGACTTTGGCGATCACAGGCAGAAGCGTTACGGGGCGGTAATTGGCAGGATCCGATCGACTTCCTGCTTTGTATATGGGCGTTATTACACCTTGTTTCCACCTCGAAGATACGATATTCTCATCGAAACAGCGCTGAAAAAATGCAGCTAGTGGTTCGGCCAAGTGGATGGCAGCTACCTGTAATGTTTTCGGGTGAATGTTATCGGCCCCGGGAGAGCTGTGTGGACGCAAGGATAGCAGCTTTTGCAGCACCATTTCTGCAGTGAACGTGAAGTTGAATAAAACGGACGGTGGGGTAACTAGTGGCGGAATATACGTCGAGGCTTGTACACCTTGGAAGATTGGGGAGTACTGGGCCCGTAATGCGTTGGCCGCCTCCTTCGCAGTATGTGTATACCCATTGGTCGTATTAAGTGGTGGGATTCCCCGTTGCACCTTGCGAAGTCCATTCACATGTTTGTAAAGAAGCTTTTTGTTCGAACAGAATCGTCTGGCTAGCTCCTGCTGATGCGTTCTCTTGTCTTCGCGAACCAAAAGCACACAGTAGTTGCGATGCGAAACGTATTCCTTCCAGTTTTCTGCGCTGGGGTTGCTTTTATACATGCGCCATGCCCGATCCCTTAGAGTCATGCATTTTCGCGTCCGGCTTCGCAAGAATGATTTCGCTGTGCGGGGATGTTGGGAAACTTTTGGTGTTGAGGCTTCTATGACTAGTGACGTGATGGTGTTCGCAAATGTCTCCCAGGCTAGTTCTGGGGTGCAGTTAGCTAGAAACGTCCAACTGGTATTCTCAACTAGAGCAGACAGAACGTGATAATGGGTAACAGATTGCCTCGTTTCGAGCTCCGCAGCTGGATATTCGGCGTAGCAGATGTAATCGAACTGCAAAGTCAGGTGATCACTACGGCCCAAAAGGACTGCACACCTTTAGTCCATCGACCATGAGCTGTTCCTTAGTGAGCAATAGATCTAATATCGATGGCTTGTTTACTGTTCTGAACTTGGTTGGAACGGTGACGTGGTTATACAAGAAGGTGCTAGAGAGCAGCTCTTGCAAATATGCCTTGAACACTTCTGTCTCGGATGCTGTATTTTCCAAGTCATGGGTGTTGAAATTTCCTGCAACGAGGATGTGGCTGTACTTCTGATTAAGCACGGAGCGAAAAGCGGAGATAAGTCTGTTGTCCCTTTCCGGAGTGGATTTCGGTGATCGATAAACCACAGAGAGAAGGCATACGTCGTTGCGTTCCAACCACAGTTTGCACCAAAGGACGTCGGTGACACAAGTCTGGGGACCGTCTATGAGCTCACAATGAAGGTTCGTTCGGAAATAAATGAGCACTCCACCGCCCTTGCCCGTTCTGTCGTGCCGGAGAAGTGACATACCCGGTAAGGCAATCTCAGCGTCTGTGATTTCGCCGCTCAGCCAGGTTTTGGCGATCATTATGATGTCTCGAGG